CATAGACGGATTTTCTAGGGGGGTGCAGGGGGGTGCTACCCCCTCAATATTAGCTATAACCCCTCCAAACAAAATGTCCACCCCTCCAAAAAAAATTTTCAACCCCCCCAATATTCGGCATAATAAATAAATAATTAAATAGTCCACTCCAACGTGCAGAGTGTTGATGATACAAAATAAACGTAGGAGTACACTCGAACAGAAAAAGACAGTGCAACACTCTGAAACTAATTGCTCCTCGCTTGCATTCACTGGTTTATTGGAGCAATTGTAAAGTTTTGAAACTCTATTATCTTCCCTGAATAGAGTTTGCAGTGCCTTGTCATGCGAATAGCTTGCACGCAAGGAACGTTTGGAATTTTTACGAACACTCTTTTTGTTTTTAATTCTTTTAGGAAATAGACTTGCCTAGATTTAATCTTTACGCCCCAAATATTATTTACATCGGTGTTGCATCGTAAATTGTACTCGGGTTCAAACAATACGCATAATCATTGCTTTATTTTGCTCACATTATAATACTGGCTACCTGGAGCGCTTTGAATTCCATTTAATGGCCAGACCGGTCAGACAAGAATTTCTCTCTTTGTATTAATGGAAAGATCTGCTGGCTTCTCGAAAATCTTGCAAAAATGGATCTCCATCATAATTGATCGAAAATTTCGGATTAGATTGACCCGAAGTCCAAATGTATTGTGTTCCATTCAACAATGTGATCGTTCTGACCGGTCTCGCCGTGTTAATGGAAAGCGCCCCTGGTGAAGTATATTGAGATTGGGTCAAAATTAATTCACCTCACTTTAAGTGGTGATTTATGTGATGTCTTTCCAAATCCTCCAATTCGGGCTGGACTAGATTTCAAGTCCTCGCAATTTGATCAAGTCCAAGGCGAAGCCGAGGACTGGATCAAAATGCGAGGACTTGTCCTCATAATCGGAATTGAAATATTACATGAAATTTTACATACTTTGATGAGGTGAAAGATGGAATTTTCCATCCCACGAAGCGACAGCAGATTTATTATTTGTTTTATATAACACAAAAGCAAGACAATGTTATCGATGTTTTATTGAATTAAATACGAAACAAATGCATACCCGAGTTGCATATATACGTTTAAAATAAATATAATCCAACAAATATGTCGCACAAAATGTTTGAGTGAAGAGTTAATGTAATAATAGCATTTATTTTTCCCGATCCGTAACCCCAGGTCCGTAACGTAAATAGAGCCTTCTGTTTCGTTGACTATACGGACCTCTCGCACACGTTACGGACCTGTCACCTTTCGCGCCAAAACAAACCGAGGATTGAAGACAATTTTCAAAACTCAAAAACGTATCCAAAAACAATTGTAAGTGAACCACGAGATGCCTATGGAGGAGGCTCATGCATAGAATATAAATACCACGACAAGCAGACAACTTCAGAAAATATAAAATAAAACAAATTCCGAAAATAGACATCTTGTGTTCTTGATATTCAAGATAAAAACAAGAGTGTAAAGACAGAGTCGGTAATATTTCGTCTTTATTCCAAAGACATCGTCAAACCTATGAAATTACAAGTAAGCTGTGATCTATATGTATAGCTATTTACAGACGCAGCGGAAGTATAAAATTACTAATGGCTTTAGAACAATGATAGTTTTTTACAAGCTTTTAGACCACTATTGAGATGTGGCATATTACGCTTTATCAGTAGTGCTTCTAGGATAAGAAGTTGATTAGGATTATTATTATTACAACGATATAGGATTTTAGTATTAGTTTGAATTAGATTACGAGGATTGCAAAGTAAGTCAGTGAAATCTTCCTCAGAATCAATGTCAGGAAATGAGAAAAGGCGAGAGATGAAGTGTGCGTCAGGACAGTGTAAGAGATGTTGAGATATGGCACTAGAATTGTTGTAGTTGGTAGCGTGCTGTGTTAGTCGCGTTTGTATAAGTTACGTTCAGTTTTACCTATGTACGTTTGGCCACAACCAGGACACTTAAATTCGTAAACTACATTGGCTTGACAAAGTTCCGGTGTCCCAGGATTTTCGCCCCCCCCTACATTTTCGCCCCCCGGGGGGCGAAATTCCTAGGAATATCGCCCCCCAGGGGGGCGAAAATCCTAGGAATTTCGCCCCCCTTTAGGAAATTCGCCCCCCTTTAGAAACTTCACCTTTTCTTTAGGACTGTCGTCCTCCGTTCAAAATTTCGCCCTTCCTTACAGTTGCATGGGACAACTATTACATGGCTTTAATCGTTTGAAATCAGTATCAATTCAAAATTGTTAAGACAGAGCTTGAAATAACAACCGATCACCGATCAATGATCGGCAAGGTCAATGATCGGCAATTACATGTATCGAAAGGGTAAACTTTACACAGTTACAGTAGATGAATACTCAATAGGACTTATGACGCTTCACAGCACACCATGCATATTTTGCATTTTCAGTGTTAATCCTTAAACTCATTGTTAAAAAGTAATCACCGTGGTGGTTATTGTAATTATTGGTATGTTTTGCATCCACGTTTTGTCGTTATCGGAAAATGTATGGTTTGTCACTATTTTTTACTTGCATTATTTCAATATAGTTTATAAATCTCAGAAGCGAAGGGTAGAACTTGCCAATAGGCAATAATCCAATAATATACGTTTCAAAAAGGACAAGACAGCTTTTAGTTTTACAGAGTTACATTCTCAAATGTTTAAGGCATGCACTAATAAAATCAAAGTATCATGAAATGATTTGAATAAACCACACCACATATATAATGCAATTTTCTTTGCGGAAGTGAAGAATTAAGATTATATCACTGACACGGAAAGTTGACGATTCAACGGACAATAGTCAATACGCTTCCCAACACATTCCATGGATTTTTTACTAATCCTATAGTTTATTGTTAGCAAGTGATTACTGTGGCGGCTATTGTTAACACTCGTATTGATAAAATTTGCAAGCGATTGTTTTTATAATATGTTGTGTGAATGTAAACTGCCAGAAGAATACGACAACATGATTTTATGCGATCTCTGTGATGGTTCCACTTTAGATGTGTAGAATATGACACTAGTCTAAGTACCTCAAATGAGTGGTTATGCAGACTGCGCACACCACCAGCTGCTAAGAAGCCTAAAATGTGTATGTGATTTTGTCTCCTTGTAATAAATAAATAAATCACACAATAAATCTTTTCAACTTGCAATCGTTTGGTTTTTAGATAAAAAATTCAAAATTTATATGGGGGGGGGCGAAATTCCTAAAGGGGGGCGATATTCCTAGGAGATTCGCCCCCCAGGGGGGCGATATTCCTAGGAGATTCGCCCCGGGGGGGGGCGAATATCCTAGGAATATCGCCCCCCTTTTGAGAGGGGGGGCGAATCTCCTGGGGGGGCGAATCTCCTGTGACACCGGCAATAAATTTTCCTACGTTGTAGTAATTTTATACTTCCGCTGCGTCTGTAAATAGATATACATATAGATCACAGCTTACTTGTAATTTCATAGGTCGGACGATGTCTTTGGAATAAAGACGAAATATTACCGACTCTGTCGTTACACTCTTGTTTTTATCTTGAATATCAAGAACACAAGATGTCTATTTTCGGAATTTGTTTTATTGAATATAAATACTGGAACCAAGGACTAATCATCAAACATAACATTTTATTTTAAAAATAAGAGTTAAAACTAAAAATAAGAGCGGTTTAAACATGATTTCTAGACTTTTTTCAGTCATATATTTTTATAAATCTTGTCATAAACACAATCTTTTCGGCAAGTACAATTTGTTGCTGCGTGTTGAAAGAACATTTTTGAAGCATATTATTATGCTAAAATTATCAGGAAAATATATAAACAGTTTTGACACTTTACCTGTTTTTTATACTTGAAACGAACAAGAAATGCATTATTTGAAATGTGTATTAGTAGCGTACTAACGTGGTACACATTTGGTCGAAGAAAACAAAAAATACCAATGTATTCCTCTAAGAACCAGTCGCAGATATCTTATAATAACAAATTAAATTATAATTTTCAATTAGTTCTGCTGTTTTGTTTTAAAATGCATGCGTTAGTTTTTACGTAATGGACGTTAGTTTTTACGTAATGAAAGTGCTTCTCAGCCAAGCATAGTCCGCCATTTCACCGGAAGTGATGCTTGCCATATAATAAAGTACACGTATTTAGCTCAACATTGTCTTAAAAATAATATTTGTAGTGATTGTTGCACCAATCATTTTGTTTCGCAAAAAATATGCATTTGAATTTAATTCTATCGGCCTCGTTTAGAAGATTTGGATTAGATCAGCTACGATTAGGATACGTTTAAGATTTGGACGAATGGAATTTACTGGAAACCAAACCGCGTTGGAACAAAACGGATGGTACAAAAATGCACTGCTGAGCGTACAATGGAATGCGTTCCGTTGCACGGTTAGAAAAATGGTATTTTTTATTCCATATCGTGTGATCATAATCAGCCAATTAAATGACCAGAATTTTATGAGGTGTTATATAATAATTAACTAATTATTTTTAACGTTCTTAAAAATGCTCATTAATAATTCATGAACAAATTCGAAAGAATTGAATGTTTAATTATAGTGAAAATGCAAAAAGTGTCCCACTTCCGCTTCTGCAGTTTGTTGTGATTTACTGTAACTTGTTCTGTTTTTATGTAGCGATTACCGATTTATCGACAAATACTGCGATAAAATTTAAATTTCGTACCTTTTATGCAATGAAACTAACGAAAAATGTATTATTTCCCTTTGCTACAAATTATCATATTTAAAAAAAGAGAGAAAACTGACCCTCGCCTTATATATTAGCGAAATCACTTCATTCTTTTTTAGAAAACGGCCTGAAATTATCACTTTTAATTAAAATGTACAAAATTATCAATTTCCCAATTATATAAACGTAATATAAACTTCGCTTTAATGTCAAATTCAGCCAAATGCGCTTCGCAAAACATTTAAAAGTTCATAAAACTAAACTGCCTTTTCTCAAACTCTTATATGCCTTTTATAAACTTAAGTTTCAAATAACAACAATTATGCAATTCTCTCATGAAATCCCCTTTGTTTAAGATTTTTAATAATCTAAATTAATAAAAAGGGTAATATACTGATGTTTGCACTGAATACGCTGTCTTTTATTATACACAACATCAGGTTTTTTTTTAAAGCAAACAATCTTAAAAGCAAACGTGTACCTTGGGTTTTACGATTTCCAGCAATCTGTTGCCCGTGATCTTTTGTTATGAAGCAAAAACAAATAAACTGTTTAGCTGCTCGTCCCTCTAAACGATTTTTTTGTGTTTCTCGTTGATGTTTTTGTCAAATCTCATTCATTCCACTGATTCACTGCTGAAATTCGCTATGCTTTTGAGATCGGTGAGAGGTCCACCCAACAAACATAGTGATGCGCCCGCGATCATTGATGAACTTTAGACTTCGCTAATGCTTTCCTTTTCCCGGGTGTAAATAGCTGAGCAGAATTAACACCCTTGCCCCTGGCTTTCACCCGGAACGGCGCTTCGCTCGGGAATAAATATTTCTTCTTAGAATGACCCAAATATTACACACTTTGAGTACGAGCGTGTATTTGTATTTCAGGAACCCGTTCTTTCCAATCAATGAGACAAACAGTGAAGAACTACCAGCTAGCTTTGTTTTGCATCTGGATAGACCTCTGGTTGTTTCAGCCTCGATACTCGAGAAGATTCACTCGACGTTGGAAACTTTTAAAGGAGGTAACTCAAATGTATTAACATCATAAACAAAGACACATTGGAAAAATTTGATGAACTCATAAAGAGTATAAAGAAGATAAACACGCTGAGCATTATCGCTGAGCATTCATTACATGGATTGCGGGATAAGTCAAGAATTTTCCAGCGCTTTTTATTCTGCTTTATTTTGGCTTACAGTACTTATAACAAAATTAGGCGGGAATACTGAATATTCAGGGTAAACATCCCTTCACCAACTGTGTTAAACTTGGTTTCATTACAGCCGTAGTTAGTTCTCGGTTTCAAAAATATAGGAACCAAATACGCCATCCATACGATTCGATCACCATATAGAAATCTTGTTTGTACGCCTCACACATGGCCTAACTTTTATAAGATGATCATTCTCGAGTAGGGCAATCACGATTCTAGCATATTTTCCCTTTAAAATGGTTGAAAGCGTTTCTAACCATGCTTGAGTCACGTAATATAGTCTTCACATCGAATTTTTACGAATAAATACAAATACCTCCATGCAGTACACCTCAGCATATATCAAATATCATGTGACCTCACTTGTAATGCGAATTGTCGCTAAAACGTGTCACGTAGTGAAACCACATTAGGCGTTTATTCGCGTTTGAAGTCTTTGTGAAAAAGTCCATTAGTTGTGCTCTTGTGGACAAAACAACGACAGCTCAAATTCTCGTTAAATTTGCAATAAAAACATTGCAATAGACAAATTTGGCTGACGTTTGTTTATACCCAATTCACAACTTTATATATTTCACATGCCTAATTTATTTATCATTGTTCTAGTATACATATAAGCATATAATAGAACAAAGGTAACTATGCTTTAGAATTATCTACGTAAGTGAATAACTCTTATACATACCCTCTAATGCTTATAGTTACTTTTGTTCTATTTTATACTTCTATATACTAGAGCAATAGTAACTAGGCATGTGCATGAGCTATCTAAAGTTGTGAATTGGGGAGCAGCGATGTAAACAACGGAGTGTGAGACCTCTAGATGGGCACTTGTGCTCTTGGGACAAACAGTAGTTGAAACATTTTTAAATAACCCCCCCCCCCGCCACAAAAAAAGCCCCCCAAAAAACTAACGTTAGCCAAATTTGTCTATTATACTTCTCGCGAATCCTTGGCTAATTCTCATTATATTTATCAGCAGTCATGCAACCATATATATAAGTATACAAATAGTTAATTTTATATCACCCTATTTAATTAATTATTGTAATTGTCTGTTTTTCTAATACATATATAGAGAAATTTATTCAAAATTCTAAAGCGTACATGGACTGTCTAATCATAAAAAGGGTAAGAAGTTCGTCTGTCAATGTGTTTGTTTCCCTGTATGTGCTGTCATTAATTAATATTGTTTGACTCTCAATAATTCCATATATTAATAGTGGCTCAAAGAAAGAAACATGGAATATAGCGCGCAAATGGCATACCGCCAGGTTTGTTTGAAAGATTAGAGATTTTGAAACTGATGTTACTTTTTATAATCACCGTTCTTACCAGCTTTTTTACGTAGCAAAATCCTTATTCACACTTTTATAAGATAACTATAAGTTGTTTGTGCACAATTCTATATATAAGAAGTTTTCAGAAACCACGTAGTGATACGGTCAGTACTTTTTAGAGAAAAAGGCCATTTTTGTAAAGCTTCAGAGAACTATTAATATAAGATATATCAACAAGTATTAAAAAGTAATAATATGCAGTGCAATTTTTTCGAAATACAGTGCCAAAAAATGAAATACATGCAGTTAGTGCAAAAAAAAGAAATACAGTGCAAATTTCTTATTTTTTATTTTTCAAATTTCTTAATTTTCTTTAAGAAATTAAAATTTCTTAACTTTTAAATGTGACTTACGCACGTGACTGCACAATTTTCATGTATATTATTAATAAGTAATAGTATGGTTTCTCGTCCAATTTGAAAAAAAACAACACTGTGAGTTTTTGAAAGAATTCAAATCTGATATTCTTTGAAAAACTCACTCGTGCATGTTTTTTCCAAATTGAATATGTTTTGTATATTTTTCTTATTTCAGAAACTTCCTGAAGAAAAACATATCTACCGTATTTCAGAGAAAGATCTTCAAGGAAGTTTGTCTTTGAACAGTAATGTTGGTGTAGTTATTTCAAGAATTCCCTTCACACACTGTCAAAATGTCGTGAAGATAATCCGGGTGAGATATGAGATGTGCCCTGTGTATTTGTTGTTGGTTGAACTAAATCCACAAGTTTGTGGATTTCGACATGCAACTGTCTCTGTGGTTGAAACACTGCACCGGAATCGAAGGGCCGCAGATTCGATTCCTGCCAGTGGGTCGATAATTGCATTTTTCGCCACTGCTCCTGGTTATAGGTCTAATAGAACTGTATAAAAATCCCACTCGAAATTTCCATCTAGATAGTGAGATTGTCGCGTGGGTAGAGGGTATTAGACGGTTGCGAGGAGTTACGGACTATTATGTTCAAGTGGGAAAAACAATATATCGCGAGTGAGCGCAGCGAACCAGGGAGATATTGTTTTTGACACGAGAACATAAATCCATATCTTCTCGCAACCGTTTAATGTTCTGTTTATTATATGGACTTATTCGGAGTGACAAAAATACACGCAAAATTAAGAAGTAAAGAAGTAAGCGCGCGAAAGACCTGTATAAAAGCGATAGTGCAAACATAAAACTAGAATAAATTTTACTTATCTCAAGATGTCTTTTAAATGTTTTCGTTTTATTTCCAACGCTAATTTCGTTTTATATACGAACCAAAGACCATTTGTATTTACAAAACAACAACAATGAAAATGGTGGGAAATTTTC